GAACAGCTATACCCTACTGGTCTAAGTTGGCCTCATAAACTCAACAGCTATACCCTACTGGTTAAGTTGCCTCATAAACTGGACAGCTACACCCTAATGGTCTAAGTTGGCCTTACAAACTGAACAGCTATACCCTACTGGTCTAAGTTGGCCTTACAAACTGAACAGCTATACCCTAATGGTCTAAGTTGGCCTTATAAACTGAACAGCTATACCCTACTGATCTAAGTTGGCCTTACAAACTGAACAGCTATACCCTAATGGTCTAAGTTGGCCTTATAAACTGAACAGCTATACCCTACTGGTCAAGTTGGCCTTACAAACTGAACAGCTATACCCTACTGGTCTAAGTTGGCCTTATAAACAGGATAGCTACACCATACTTGTCTATTCAGCCTCATAAACTGGACAGGCATAACATAATGGTCAAATGTTAACATAAATGAAACACAGCCATACAACTGTATATCTATATGTAATTGTCAAGCTTAACATATCTCATTAGGTGATACAGAGTACATGTTTTTTAACAGTGTTACAGTCATCTATTTAAATAATTTAAAGAGAATCATTTCTAACCTGTCTCTATTGGTAACGTATTATCTTGTACAGCAGGAGGTGTTTTACTTCTTCGTCTTTTTCGTCTGACAACTGGTCCACTCTCAAACTGCAAACACAAACGTGGAATCTTTGAAATTTATCCATGGAACAATCACATATTGAAGATTATAGCAGAACTGTATTGAATCCCCCATTGCAGAATGTTCAAACAGATATATAAACTTGGGCTAACACGCAATTGTCTCACCATTATACCTTGATAGAAATCACACTATAAACCTGTATTCATACTCGACAAAATCAAACAACAGCGCATAATCTGGTTCTTTTCCATGGGAAAACAAGTGCGATTATGTCGGTTAAGCTATGATATTTTCGGGGGCAACCATCACGGTGAAAACAAAGACCGAAAACTCTCAGAAAACGGTACTTTGGGATGGTTGTTGAGACTCCCTTGAACAGTGTAACAAGATTACCCCTGCGTGTCACTGTGTAACGCATATATATTTGATTGTTCAGGATTACTTAAAAGTTGAGTTCTTTTTGTTTTCTTGATTTTCACCGGCTCTTCACTCAGCGTTCCACGTTCCCCAGCAGGACGCGCAGAGCCCACAGACATACGGGGTACAGTGGTGCACACGCGTCTTAGCAACGTGGAACGTCTTGTGACGTAGCTCCGCCCCCAGGGATACATTGTAAGATGGCCAAATCTATCAGTATGGTGATATTTGTATAATTAAAATAGCATGCTTGCACTTACAGGAAGAGTAGTATACAAAAAAGATCCATGTTGGGTTTCCAGTTCTGGCGATTGTCCTCTTGGTGAAGTCCTCTTTCCTGAAATAATGGAAATATTGTTTGAATAAAAAAGAAGTATGTCACAGGTGGAGGATCTGAGTTGAATTTTTTTTTTATTTCACTTAAAAATAAATGTGCATAAATTGCGGCAATACTTTAAAGTGTAACTGAATTGGGCCAATTGACTTTTTTGTGTGCAAAATTTATTTATGAACAACATTATGAAAAAAAATCAAGTGAAAAGGGTATATAAATTGGGTAAACAGTCAATGATATTT